AAAATAGTTAGTAAAGCTTTACAGTTTGCTCAGTGGATGTCCCCAACAAAACCAGACTGTATTCAATGTTTCAGCAGTGAGAAAAACAAACTCCTCAAACCTTTATGCTCCAGGGGCTCATCAGTGGAATAGGCCACAGCTGCTGCTTGTTGGCATCACCCTGCTGGAATCCCCAAAATTTACTGCTTTTATGTTATGGTTACTTAAAGAGTTCCATGATTAGTTGTAAAATTAGACTTTATTTAATAAACATATATTTTAACTGTAAAATAAAGACTGTAAAAATATTGTAGGATGTTCAGTTTTTATCATTTTTTAACTGAAAGTTTAAAAATATATTACACAGACAGGGCCATTTTATTTACACACAAAGCATTCTGGGTAAATGATGACGTGGATAGGTCATCAGCATGAGGCTGCTAGCAAGCTATATCCACCCTGAAGGTTAATCTTGGACAATATCTGATGATCGACTCTTTTAAATKAAACCAGAGAGCGTTGACAGAGAGGAGAAGGTAGAAATGACTCAGCCTGGAACTGAAAATATGGATGGAGGACCTCAGTTTAGCTTGTTCGTCGTGCTAGCACCGAGCTAATACATATAAGGAAATATAGAGTCGATGCTAACACAAAGGCAAACAGGCTAAGCTGAGGTTCTTCTTCCATGAAGCAGCTCTGTTGTCCTCCATCTATATTTTCAGTTACAGGCTGAGTCATTTCTACCTTCTCCTCTCTGTCAACGCKCTCTGGTTTCATTTAAAAGAGTCGATCATCAGATATTGTCCAAGATTAACCTTCAGGGTGGATATAGCTCGCTCACACCGATGACTTATCCACGTCATCATTTACCCAGAATGCTTTGTGTGTAAATAAAATGGCTCTGTCCGTGTAATGTATTTTTAAACTTTTTGTTTAAAATTTATAAAAACTAAACAGCCTACAGTATTTTTGCAGTCTATTTTACAGTTTAAATGTATGTTTATCAAATAAAGTCTAATGTTACAACTATTCATGGAACCCTTTAAATTTTTTTCTCAATTTTATTCTATCAAAGGTATTTTAATGCACTAATCGACTTTGACTTGGTTTTGCAGTTTTTAGAAAGATCCAGACAATTTCATTAATACTTTTATTTGTAAAAAACCTAGAATTAAAAAAGGACAATTTTAATTTATTAATTCCCCCATGAGTTTATGTGACTTTGTAGATACCTTCTGATCTGCTCCACAAAAGGCACAGACTCCCAAAATGCATTATTTCAGAATCACATAATCTAATCTGGTAAATGATCAGCAGTTCACTCACAGATAATAAACTAAAGGATAGGTTCGACTCCCCGCYGTGCCTACATGCCGTTGTGTCCTTGGGCAAGACACTTCACCCACCTTGCCTGCTGATGGTGGTCAGAGGGGCCGGTGGCGCAGCATGGCAGCCCCGCCTCTGTCAGTCTGCCCCAGGGCAGCTGTGGCTACAATGTAGCTTACTGCCATCAGTGTGTGAATGTGAGTGTGAATGAATGATGCATGAAAAATTGTAAAGCGTCTTTGAGGGTCTCGAAAAGCGCTATATAAAACTAATGCATTATCATTATTATTATAATAGTTCCTAACTGATTAACTGAATTTTAGATTCAGCCTTGTATTTTAATAGTGATCAGTTTTAGTCATTTAATATGCTGACATTTTTATATGTGGTTCCATTCAGCAATGTAAGAATAATATTTAACATTTCAGGCATATACCAATGCTGACGTTAGAGTAACCACCCTAGGGGTCTGACCAGGATTTTTATGAACACATAAAAATCTTTAGATCTGAATATAAACATTTAACCATGGAATTCTTTAGTTTTCTGCTAACTATTTGGGCATGGGGGGGCGGGGGGTCTTGTGGAACAAACTTAACTAAAACAAACCAGAATGTCTGACAGAAAACAAAAAGCAACCATGGGGTTTTCATATGTAGGGACTATGTCAAAACAGCAGGTGTGATGATTACAGAAAGAGATCCAGGTGTGACAACAAGAAAACTTTACGTAAAGGCCTGAAGGAAAGAAAAAAAGAAAGAAAGAACTCAAGAATATAAAATGTAAGCAGAGAAGATGAAAACAAACTCAGAAACACTATACTATAACAGACATTTTATATGTGATACATATAAGTTTATAACATATAAGAATTTGTGTTCTTTGTGATCTTAATGTAGTTGAAGATGATTATCATTTTATTCTCTACTGTCCTTTGTATTGTGATTTAAGATTTTCTTTATTTGAAAGTATAAATAGACATAATGTAGATGTATTTTGGTTTTCTGAAGAAAAGATTTTAGGGTGATTTATAAAAAAGAAATTTTTGCATTTGCTGTTTTTGTTTGTAAAGCCTGAGACAGCATGTTCTGTATCCTGGATGAGTCTCTGATTGTGATGACGATATTTTTTGTGGGTTTTGTGGTATGAATGTGGTCATTGGCATGACACTTAAATACTGTAAATAAAAATCAATCAATCAATCAATCATATCAGCATCAAGACATGTGATACATTGTTGTGAGATTCACTCCACAACAGGATGTTTCACCGACATGTTTTTGAACAACATTGTACACCTTTTAATGCGAGGCTGGGAAAATTTTACTGAACATTTGATTAGTGTCTCTAATAATAAGCATAACTGTTTTGTCAGTGTATGAACATGCAGACATTATAATGATACTCAATCTACTGTATTAATAAATTGTTGCTTCTTCCACCAGGATGTTCCTTTTCAAAGCTAGGAACAGTGTAAAAGACAGTTCTGTTTAACCCGCCCTCAGGTTTATCAAGTCTACAAACTCGAAAAGATTTTTTTATTCTTGAACCATAACTGAATGCAAACATTAACCCACTAACTGCAGCTAATTGAGCATTCTTATTATTTATTTGTAAGTCTTCTCAACAGTGCTTTTAAACAAATTCAATAGATACTTTAAAGTGGGGTGTTAGTTTTATGAAGGCATTATTTATGTGCTCTTTGCACTTAGTGCTAAACCTCGTATCTTTTACTTTGTACAATGACAAATTGTGATTTAAAAGTCTCCTGCTTTTGTGCTTGTTGACTAACTATGGAGACACATTTCTCTCAACAAAACAAAATATCTAACTGGACTTCACATTAGTTATTTCTCCTTCTATCGGCTGTTTCCTCGTCCTCTATCTCACGTTGTCCTCTGCATCCTCTGTCCTCACTCCATCTACTTCCATGTCCTCTCTAATTGCATCCATATATCTCCTCTTTGGTCTTCTTTTTTTTAAATCTTTTTCCTGGCAGCTGAATTTTAACCATTCTTCTACCTAATGTCCCAACTGTCCCTGCACTGGACCATCTCCGTATACATACATACAACACAGCTAGTCTCACTACTCTCTTGTAAACCTTTCCTTTGGTTTATGGAGTCTAGACAAAAGTTCAGCTCTGGAAAACTAATGTACACCATCTGCTTCGTCAAGTCACCACATCATAATCCAATCAGCATCTGGCAGTCAGTGGATAAAGGTGACATCTCCAATCGCTCTGTCTGCTCGCCAGCTGAATGTCACTACTCCTCCTCCACTCTTGATCTTCAGGCTCCCAAGGGCTTCCCCCTCCTCTGACCACCACCACCAGAGCTGGGCCCTCGGGGAGGGGGACTCCTACCCCTCATCCTGAGCAGCTCATTTGAGCTTATAGCAACTCACGGCACTCACACCTTCTGCCGGGGTCTGAGCGCCAACCTCTGATTTCATTCAGGTCTATAAACCTTGCTAATCCAGTCATGTCAATAAACTTTATTTCAGTCCGTCTTAGTGTGAGTCTTTCCCGGTTGAGTTGCCACCATTTGTTTGCAACTCCTGAAACTTTTCTCCATCCCCTCTATTCTGCCCAGACTCTTGTCTTTACCTATTTACCACAGTGCATACCTTCACCTCACCAAGTTCTCTTCCACCAGTTCCCTGTTCTCCCCACAAATCACAGTGTCATCTGCAAACATCATAGTCTACGAGTATTCCTGCCTGACCCCAAGCAGTATGTGGCAGTTTTCTTACAAGAAGCAAACAACTGTATACACAAATACTGTAAAACACAAACTGTCCACGTTCAACACATTTACAGTAACTGCAGGGGGCAGCCCRAATTTTAAATTAGGCATCATCTTTTTGTCCAACTGGAGCTGGCCATAACATTGCATCAACATCACAAGCTGTAGCCTTCTTTATAAGAAAAAAATAAGAACCTCGTTGTGTGTCGAATCCACCCCCACACAAACGATGGTTCAGTCAGGTCAGGCCTCCTCCATTGTGTAGGTCTAGCTACTTCCTAAATGTCCCTCTCATCTTCTCTCTTTCTTTTCTTCGTCCATTTTGTTGAAAACAACATGCCCACTGACTTTTTGCAGTGTTTGTATCTGATTGGTGCGCTTTCAAATTCTAGCTTGTGTTATTAACAAGCTCCAGCTGAACTGTTTTGCTTATTTCTTTATTAAACCACGTTATGGGGGTGAAAGCTGTAAATACAACTAGGCTGGACAGCAAAACACATTTGAAGGACAAATTTTACAGATAAAATTGTTTAACAATTTAGTTGCAAACAGATACTAGTGTTTTATTGATCAATACTGTAGTTTGTTTCTCTCTGTATGTAGATTCCTGTTTCAGAAGTGCTCTGAAATATGTACATATATCTAAAATATGTAATTGTGCTCATTTAATTTTTTAAAACATTTTGCTACAGTAATATTGTGAATGCTGACTCTATTTAAAGCTTTGCTCCATTTAGCTTCCTTGCTTATTTTATCTCATTTTACTCCTTTTAGCTATTTTTTTAGCTTTCATTTAGTCTTTATACGATTACCGTGTGACAAATTCCATATGCCAACAAGAGAACGTAAACGGTGACTTATTTCATCCCACTTATTTACTCTTTGGGTGGATTTTTGTTGGACCAATGGAAGCGAAGGTGGGCGGAGCCTGCGGCAAATTAACAAGCAGCGAGCTGCGGATGAGAGCAGTGAAACCTGTCGTATCTCTCTGTCCATCCAGCACCACCTTACGCCCTTTTAACGGTAAGACCCCGTGTTATTTTGGTCTCCGTGTGGTTTTTCCACTCGTGTCGCTTTTATTCATTTATATCCGAGCAACAAAAACATAACGGTTCAGCTTTTGCTTATAAGAATATTAAGTTTTCCCTCAGCTAGAAATGGATTGTTGTAGGTAATGTGGGGAATGTGTAGAGATGTTTGTTTTAGGGCATTTATTGACACTTAAGAATTCACAATGCTGTAATCAACATGTGTGGGCTTTCAATAAGGAGGAGTGTAATTAAAGCCCACGAGAGTCCACCACCCCGAGGATATTTCTGATTTCCATCGCGATGGATTTGCTTCTTTTTCCTGTTGTTTTGCTTCTGAAATCATCTGAGTGGCTGGGATGTGGCTGTTGTCCTTGAAATGCAGCCAGAGACGCATTGAGTGAATTTGTGTGAAAAAAAAAAAAAAAAAAAAAACTAAGGTAGATTCTAGTAAATCTCCACCCAAACACACACACACACACACTCCTTGATATTAGGTGTGTGTTCTCATTTGATCATTGAGGATAATATATGTTGATGTGTACAGATATTGATCAAATAATTGTTAAAAATCTTTATTTTTTTGTTTTGTTTTAAATGCATCACACGTATTATCCTATGAGTAGTGCTGAATTTAATCACACATTTTAATATAGTTTGTGTTTTTCCTCCTAAAATCTTCTCTAAAATCAGGAAAGTTGGTTATAAAGGTGATTTTAAACGTGGTTCCTCTTTCACTTTTCCCATCATATCTAGCCACTTCCTTTCTGTTTGTACCTCCTAATGTCTGAAATCCTCATATAGGGTTATAGTTGCCATTTTACACTCAGAAAAAGCAAAACAAGTATCCTCTTTAATCCTAATCCCAATGAATAAATCTCAAATGCTTCTGAATCGCTGCCTAATCTCTGCTGATAACCAGCTGTTTGCCTAGTGTGTGTGTGTGTGTGTGTGTGTGTGTGTGTGTGTGTGTGTGTGTG